CGGCGACCATGGACAGACTTCCTCACATCCATCCGGCCTTCAAGTTCCAATTGTCCCGTCTTTCCCCTTCTTCAAACACCAGGTGCGGGCGGCTCGTCGCGACCCTCTTGGTCATTTCTCCCCTTTACTCTGGCATGCACTTTCATCATTGCGCTTTCTCCCGCCCTACACGGCTCCACTTCAGCTTGCCTGCATTGTCCTCGTTTTCCTGTTCTTGGATTTCATTGTACTTCAATTCATCCCGCCCACAACTGAACACTGCCCGGTTTGATACCGCAAGTACTACATTTCTACAGTCCCCGCTTAGTTTCCGCTTCCTGTTTTCATTCTGGCGTCAGCTCTCCTGTTTCCTTGTTCGCACATCACGATCTTCATCTTTATTTAATGATATATCAATGCCTCATTGACTCGTACCCTTGCGGATTTGTTGTGAATCGGTTCGGGTGAAGTAAGTGGGTAGTTCGTCGCCACTGGCCCACAGGCGACGGCGAGGCGGGGGTTCTCAGGGCTCCAGGCGCTACTGTGTCCTTAGCCCTGCGTGGTGCGATACTGAGTCGAGCGCGAGTGGCGGCAATGCTTCACAAAAGCTCGTGGGCAGAAGCGAGGTCAAGGGAGATGAAGCGACATCGTATATGAGTACAGTGAGTACGTCCAAAGTCTAGTTACATAGCCTATTCGGCATCTTTGGCCGCGGACTTTCTCCGCTTGGCCTTTTTTACGGTGGGAGCAACGGCGCCAGCCTCCGCCTCGGCTTCGGCCTTGCGCTTGCTTTTGGCCGCCTTCTCTTTCACCTTGCCCCCCTCCTTTTCTGCGCGCTTGGTGGGCTTCTTTTCTGATGATGCCTGCGCTTGCGCGAGCTGTGCGACCTGCTTGCACATCCCGAGCAGTGCGCCCAATGACTTGAAGCGCGGGTGCGCGGCCAGCCGGCCGTGCAGCCCTTCCCACAACGCAGCATCCCAAGTGCCCGCGAGGACACGCGCGGCTGCTTCGGACTTTGCCGCGAGACGCTTCGTCGTGCGCGTGCCGACAAGCGCAAGCTTCAATGACTCCTTTAGGTTCGCGGCAGGCGCCGTGTCCGCGTCACATGCAGCTGACAGCACTCCGTGCAGTGCTTCCTGCAGCTCCCGGGTGAACGTGGCTACCTCCTCCAGCCCGCCATCCTCCTGTCAGGCGGAGTGAGTCATAATTATGCGCACAATATACTCAGTACTTACTGGTGGTGGCAGGTGGTTCAGAAGCGTCTGCAGCAACAGGTATGCCTGGCCCTGGCGGTACACATTGACCGCCTTCCCAGGAGCAGCAAGCAGCGCGCTGCGCATGCCCCATGCCGCGCTTGGGTGCCGTTTGACGAACTCGGTGAAGAAGTTCGCGTTGAGATTGGACGCCTTGCGCTCGGTAAAGTCCACGAGCGATGCAGTGTACGCCGCGAGCACAGGTGCGTCTGCGCCAGTATGAAGGAGCGCCCGCGCGACGTAGAGGCTGCAGTGGCTGATGGCGGCGAGCGCGTCGTGCGCGTGCACCTTGCGCGCGCGGATGTGTAGGTCTTCCAGCGCGGCTGTCGCTTCCGCAGCGTCAAGGACAGTGGGCACCTCCTTGAGCTTGCTAATACGCGACTTGAGCAGCCCGGCGGCCTTCTCGGATAGCTGCTTCTCATCGGAGGTCGTGAGTGCAAGGAGCGGGACAAGCAGCCGAAGGATGAGCGGGCTCGTGGGTTGTCGCTTGATGAAGACGTCGAGCAGATCAAGCACGCGGTTCTTGAAGTGCGTGGCCTCCCTTTGTGCGCCCTCCTCTGAAAGCCAGGTCAGCGCAGGTTGGCGGATGAAAAGCGCGGGGGCGAACCTTTGCCTTTGCCTCGTGCACGGTCTTTGAAGATCTGCGCTAGCTGCTCATCCATCGCCATCATCTGGTCGTCGTCGAGGTCCTCTTCGGACTCGTCGTCTGACAAGCCAGTGGCGGCCTCGATCCCGTTCGCCCGGAGTGCTTCTGTGATCTTCTTACGCAGCTCCTCATTCTCCTCTTCATTACCCTCCTCGCTCTCGCTGTCATCAATGTCGCCAGAAGAAGACGAATCTGCGTCATCGTCCTCGCTGCCACCTTCCGCATCCTCGTCTTCGTCGACATCCATCTCCTCGTCCGAATCAGCAACAAGCTCCGACGGGTCTCGGCGCTCCAGTTGCTAGGCGAGTGTCAGTGAAGTCCGAAGAATATATATTCAGGATGCTCACAGCGAGGATCAGATCGACGGTGCTATCCTTGACAGCAGCGCTGAGCAAGGAGAAGCCGTGATTACTAACAGCCCGCATGTACGCGGTGCCCTTTTCCAGACACCCGATGATCGTGTCCACCAGGACATCGATGGGCTCTGGCTCTGGCTTCTCGTCTTCGGCAGGTTCGATGTGCTTTTTGGTCTTTTTCGGCGACTCAGGGAATAGTCGGGATGCGCCATCGGTACAAGACTGCAACATGTTAGCAGGAGATCAGGTGTGAGGTACGTACAATTACCTCAAGTGGCGCTGTGTCTCGCTGCTCTGGACTTTCTTCGGTGTATAGGAGAAGGATGAAAGACTGCAAGAGCAGTTCTGCGCCCCGGGCAGACTCTTTCCTGTCGTCCTGAACCTGCACCTATGAGCCTCGCGGTTCGAGGCAGAGTAAATCCGAAGCGAACCTTCTTCAACGATGCGATCGCCTTGCGCGCCTGCTCGAGCTTCTCGAGCTCGTCCTCGTCAAACTCGGCAGCGAGCTTGACATGCTTCGTGTCCTGCTCGAGCTGCTGGATCGTCTGAAGCACCCGCGAAATCCAGAACTCGCCGTCCGACGCAGCACCAGTCAGTTTCTGCGTCTTGTCGTCCGCGGTTTTGGTGACAACAGAGAGCTGCGTGAGATCAGCCAGGCAGCTGAGCAGACGCTCGCGGCACTGTTCCCGCAACCCGTCCGAGAAGGGTGGTGACGGTGGCGATTGAACCTGCACGTTCGCGTTAGGTAGCACAATAGCGGGGATACGCAGGCTACATACGGCGGAAAATGGACTTTTTGGCGACTTTTTCTTGACGATGAATATCCCGTGGACGACGAGCCAGTCCAGGATGACCTGGACCCATCCGTCATCTTTTGGAATCGCGCCATGTCGGACGAGCGCAGCGAATTGCTCGACGATCCACGCGCGGCGCGCGTTGATGACCTGGATGTCCGGCCTAGACAGTACAATGTCAGCAGCTGAGTGCGAGTACCAGGAGGCGGCGTACTGCGCGGACGACGAGTCCTCGTCGACCTGCGCGAGCAAGTGCTGGATGTAGCTCGCGATGCCCTCGGCATTCATCGTCGTCAGGATAGACTCGACCGTCTTGGTCTTGGTCAACTTGTCGAACTGCTGGTTCCCGTGCACGCCGGTCAGCTGCAGGATGAACGCGAATCCGAGCGCCGGGTCTTTTTGCACGGCAGCCAGGATGCTTGTTGCCTGCGGGTGCGACGATCAGTACCCGAGTAGAAGGACGGTGGTGAAACGCACGATCTGCTTGGCAAACGAATGCAGATAGCGGTCAAAATGTGACAAGTGGTTAATCCATGTCCGCATGAAGTTTTTCGTGAACAACATCGGCAAGTCCGCGGCCTTGACGCGCGACAGGGCCCTCTGGAAGATCACGAAGCCCCAGTATTTCCTCTCGTTCGACGCCGAGCCAGCAAAGAGGGATTCTGGGCAGCGCGCATGAATGTCAAGACAAGGGCACAGTGGCGTGTGACGTACCATCGACCACAATGCGGAAGAACTCCTGGAATGAGCCCTTGGGCGTGCGCCCGCTGTCTTTTGGCGGCAGCAGCTCGTCCAAGATGTCGTCCCACACAAAGTGCACCTGCGGCTTCCACGTGCGCCCAGACGCCTTGACGACGTCCTCGTCGTCCTCGACCCCGCTCTCCTACATCAAACCCATGAGCACACCGGTCCGACACCCAACCGCACCGCACGCACTCTGAGTACCTTCGCGAGCGCCGCGAGGTTCGCCGAGTGCAGCACGTTCCCGTGCTTGATCGCGGGCGCCCACATACGCCGCCATTCCGCCTCGCGCTCGGGCCACAGCCGCTGCGCGCGCAGCGCCAGCGCGACGCGCTCGGGCGTCCACGCGCCGCCCGCCTCGCCAAACTCGGCCTCGAGCACCGCGCGCACCGCCTCGTCGCGCCAGGACAGGTCCGCGGACGCCGCGGCGAGCGCGTCGAGCGCCGCACACAGCACGCGGTACGCCGCCTCGGCGAGCCACGACTTTGCGCGCGCGAGCTCAGGCAGCGCGCCCAGCGCGTCCGTGCACGCCGCGAGTGTGCTGGGCGGCGTGGCAGAGTGCGGGAGCGGCGGCGCGGTGCGCAGGAGGAGGCCGGAGTGCACGAGTGCGGCGAGCCCGAAGAGCCGCGCGAGGAGCAGGTCGCGCTCTTCTTGGCCGGACAGCGAGCCCGAGACGCGCGAGGCGTCGAGCACGAGGGCGAGGACCTGGGCACTGGAGACGGTCGTGATGCGCGAGAGGAGCTGCGCGGTGTGAGTAGGTACTGAGGGGGAGAGAGGAGTGTGCGCACCTCTGTCAGGGCGACGGCAAAGCCGAGGCGGCTGCTCTCGCGCGGGCTCGCGAGCCCACGCACGAGACGGCGGATGGAGTACGCGACATCGGGTGCGTTGAGCGCATCGATGAGCACCTCATCCTCCGTCTTGTGCGGCCTGCCGCCATCCTCGTCCCCATCCTCCTCCTCGCCTGAAGTTTCGTCCGACTCTGCAGCACCAGTGGCTGCCCCGGGCTTGGGCACGAACGCAGCCTGGAACTTTTGGAGCGTGCCGACGAGCTTGGCAGACGCGTCGATGCGTTTCTTCTTGTCCGCCGAGGAGAGGTCCCAGAAGAGCGGGAGGGTCGTCGACATGCGTGCGTGCGCCTTTGGCCCGAGCGTCCGCCGGCCTTCACAAACTTTTTGAAAGCTTTCCGGTGGCGTATGCGCTGGACATGGCCTTTACGAGGCGCTCATTTCACGCATCAATGGGGTAGTGGTAACCTGGGTCGTTGCCAAAATTACGTAATTTGTCTGAATAAGGAAAGTGGTATGCCCGTTTCGACCCGCCCTGGGTTCGATTCCCAGTTGATGCAGTCTTTTTGCTGCTTCCCAGCCTGCACCTTTGTTTTCTTGTCCCTACACCGCGCCACCGCACCCTATGGGATTGCATGGTTTTGAAGACCACCCATGTTCATCCACCACGGACATCTGTGCCACTGAGCAGAGGCCAGTCCGGGCACCAAGAACGAGCGCAGTCGCTATCGGAACATACACGCGTGCATCATTTCTCGCATTACATGTGCAGTGCAAATACTACTCGCTATGTAGATGTATGTATATAACCCTAAGCAAACGCTAAATCAACGCAACGGGTCCTACGAATTATGACGCCAACGTCTCCCATCCATCATAGGGGGACCGTATCACTCGCCTTGGCGGCACCCTGAGGGGATTGCGAGGCATCTCCACTCGAGGAATGAACATGTACGTGCTCTACGTCCACAGTAACCACGGCTCCGGACCCTGTTGATAGTTCATCTGCATCAGGGCTGGACAGTATGTTGGTAGAGGTAGTTTGTCGCATAGGGTTGTCCGCACCGACAGGACTACTGGGAAGTAAGATGTTTTGCACTGAGGTCGGCACCAGAAGCGCAGAGTCATTGTTTTGCAGGGAAGGTTCAACGGGGAGCGCAAGGTCGACAGTCGGCAATGACATAGATGCTGTACCAAGGACCGGCATCTCGCTCGTCCCAGGCGTGATCAGCGTCACTGGAATTGCGGGATTACTCGGGAGTGCGGATCCGGAGGGTTCGAGGGCGAGAAGTCGTGCAAGTTCGGGGGAAGTAACACCCTGTGGCTGGTCTGTCAGTCGTTCAAAATGGCTGGGGGCTGGGGGTGGAGGATGGGAGGTGGGAGGGCGGCAGTGGGACACCTCGGTGCATGGAGGGAAGTCAGATTGTTTGAGCGCAATGAGCTCGTCGTAGGTTTTAACACCCTGAGATCGTTGAGAGGCCACGGTGAAGGCTTGAGGATGAGACCGATGATAGACAGGTTGGAGGCATGCAAGGATATGCAAAGCTACCTTGTGCTCGTCTCGGTCCGGCGCGACCCCGACGGCACGATTCCAAATCTCGCACAGGCTATAGCGGAGCTTGTTGGGGAGACTCTCCCTTGAGACGGGCTTGAGTTGCATGTCGCGTAAAGTAGTGATTATTGCCTTCGCATGTGTCGTTCGGGGTGGCCCATCGAGATAGGGTAAGGCAACATGGCGGATAAAGCGCAGGATAACGGCATGGCGGGTCCCAAGATCAGACAAGCCAGCTGAATGTGTGAGTGGAGGAAGGTCCGTAATGCGGGTAATGGAAGTGGCCATCCCCATTTCCCGTTGCGATGAGAAGCACAAAAAGTACGAATGGACCATACATTTTGCGGCGACGGCGAGGTCTTGATCCGGGTCCTTTGCCATGCTTTCCAAAGCGAGCAGAAAGTGAGAACCGGCCTCCCCGAGCCGCCTGAACCACGCCAACTGCTCGCGCCACTCGTGCCACTCGTGCGGCTCGAGCCGCAGGACCCGCTCGGTCCTGCTCGGCCACGTGAGCCACGTGAGCCACCCGAGCCCCTCGGGCAGCTCGAGCCGCTCGAGCCGCTCGAGAGGCTCGAGCCACCCGAGCCCCTCGAGCCCCTCGAGCCCCTCGAGCCCCTCGAGCCCCTCGAACCGCGCGAGCAGCTCAAGCCGCTCGAGCCCTTCGAGCCCCTCAAACCCCTCGAGCCGCTCGAGCCGCTCGAGCCACTCAAGCCCCTCGAGTCGCTCGAGCCGCTCGAAGAGCCTAGGCCCGAGCCGCTTGAGCTGCTCGAGCTGCCACCGTCGAAAACCATGAGTGAGGAGCGCAAATACAACTTCAGAGCATATCTTGAACCGTCGACGTTGGGCCGCTTTAGGGGTGAGGCTTGGCCCTATGGGACGCGCAAGTAGGTCCAGCGCTCCACGGATGAGGTCGTCGCGATGACTGAGTGTGTCCACGCCCGCCAGCACTACCGCAGGCTGATTCACCGTCCTCGAGTCCAGCAGGCCAGGGACTCCGGCCAAAAATTGCTCCAACTCGTGATCTTCGTCCAAAGAGTCGTATGTCCATGCTAAAGCACGACTGTCCGTAATGGGTGACTGGGTCATTGCTGCCTTTTCAACCAATTTGAGCATTCCACCTGTGACCAGCACTTGCAAACTAGCCTTGAACTCGTAGACGGCGACCCGGACTGTAGATATGAAGCCGGATTCGCGAGAATGAGAGCCGAGGATGTGGTCGAAGACGTTGACATGCAGTCGGAGGTTTTGGTCGATGACGTTGACGAGCAGTCGGAGGATGTTTAAAGGGGTTAACCAACATAATGTGGATAGAGGCGTGCGATATGGACTGTTCAGGAATACCGCTGGCAAGATCGTGATCACCACATAGAGTGACAGGCAGAGCGCGACCCATGACACGACCACCTTGAATATCGTGAGGTTGATGGTGAACAGGAGGATGGAAAGGCCCGCGTAGAATAGAAACACGGACAAGTGGAGAAGTGCAGGAAGGGCGTCGATTGCCCAGGACACCCGGAACTTCTCCACACCCCCGGCGTAGAACGAGCGGATGCGGGCCTGCTTGTGTGGCTGGTAGCGTGTATGGGTCACGCTCAGATAATGTCGTGCCCACTGTTGCAGCATCGTGGCCAGCAGCGCACATGTCAGGCTGACGACGAGACTGAGGAACCACAGTGCGTTGACCCAGATGATGGATGTCGATGGGGAGAAGACGGCAGGATCTGAGATGCTGGGTGGGACAAAGACTTGTGACCCGTTGTCAGCAGCGGATTGTTGATAGATGCGCGAGAGGTAGAAGGCTGATGCATCCTGAGAATTCAGTTGAAGGCCTTGATACGTGTTCCCGAGAAATGTGGCCACGGCAGCGGAGAATAGACCCGTCTGCGACAAGACATGAGTGCGCCAGAAACACCGGAGGAGAGGGAGAAGCGTACGAATACGAGAATGCCGTCTGCGTCACCTTTCCAATTCTCTACCATCTTCTTGTCCTCTTCCTCGGCGCGCTCCATGTACATAGAGAAGAGCGGGCCCGATGGGTCACTAAAGATCTTCTCGGGCTGCGTAGGCTGAACGGGAGGCTGGTCAAGTAGGTGTGCTAGAGAACCCAACATCGATCAGAGGCCACGACAGGAAAGCGTGAGTGGAGCGTACCCTGCGACCTGTCCGTGGGGGCTGCATTTGGATCGCGCGTTGCGTCGGTGCCCGATTCAAGACCTTGCGACATGACAGGGGATACAAAGAAGAAAAGTGATTGGGGGTACTAGTGGCTCCGCAGAGGACCGCGGCGGGCATAGGGAGGTCCTACTTATACGAAGCTACATGTGCACAGCCCCGGGACCAAGAGGCTAATTATGCACGACGCTCAAGCGCCGGTAGATGCGAGTGAGGGTGTTTGCGCTGCCTGAATGGGGCGAGGTGCTATTTTGTGACATAGTAGAATGTGGTTCATGTTCTGCCTGATCAAGTCGTGGTACACGGCCAAGCCGTGACACGTGAACTTAAGTCGTTGTGATTGCAAATATAAACATCCCATGTGTCGAAATAGTGAACATGCTCTGAAAGATCACGTAGTATGCGAGCCCTATCCTATCCTATTCTATCCCGTCTAGGTAGACATAAACACAAAGAAGTACACACATACGCCACCGGCGCGTTCTGGCGGTGCCAGACCTTGTCGCAGGAGCCCGAATCGGCACCGTCATGGCGCGGCAGATGAGGCTATGGCGGAATGCGCGGACGCCGCGTCGAAGAAGACGCCTGCGCGCCGTCATCCTTATCAATGAATAGCACCTCGTCCCCCCACAACGGCCGCCCCGGCGGCGCCTGCCACGCTGCACACCCATCAGCACCCGCCCACGCACTGCGCGAAGCACGGACGGCACTCACATGCGTACGTTTCGTTCTGGAATTGGTTGTAGAGTATCTCGTGCAGGTACGGCCAGTTCCAGTGGTCCTAGTACCCATAGTCGATCGCGGGGCCCTCGAGCGGCAGGACGACAATCTTCGCGCCTGGCTCAGGCTCGAAGCGCTCGGCGACGCGCTCGCCCAGCGCCCGCCACATCGCGTACCTACAACCCCACCGCGTGAGCACCACACGCAAAGCAGGCGCAGCGAACGAGGGCACGCACCGCGCGCTAATGAGCACGTCCAGGTCGTCCGTGGACGCGCCGAGGTAGTCCACGCCTGTCGAATCGCACAAAGTGTGCAAACTCGCCGCCGCGTGCTTGCGCCCCATATCGGTGAATGTCGCGCGCGCGCTCGTCGCTGAAGAGCAGCCGTGCCGCGGGGTCCGTCTGCGCCCCGAGCGCCGCGAACTCTCACTGCCCGTCATTTAAGAGGCCGTACGTCCCGCCAGTGCCACCGCCTGCGGTCAGGTGGAAGCGCGTCGGGACCCTGGCGTTAAACTGGAAGAAGGTGAGGTTGGTGTGCAGCGGCGCAAAGTGCGAGTATTCGGCTCCCCTGCGCGGCGCGCGAGCGTGAGCGTATGCGTGTGCGGGAGCTGGGGCTGGGGTGCGCACCGACGTCGGTCTCGATTCACGGGAGGGTGAGAAAGGCGTGCCGCATGCGGAGGTTCTGGAGCGCGAGGAATTGCCGAGTCACCTCGGGCGAGTGGAGAAAGGAGAGATGGCCCTTCATGTAGGACAAGATGTCGGCGCCGGGGGACGGCCAGTACGCGATGAGCATGTCGAAATCGTATGCGATGTCCTATGGGACTGCCGCCGTAGTCGTTAGCACGCGTCATTGGTGGTAGGGCGGTACAGGGCACGCACAGGCACGCTCAAAGCTGCAGGCGTACGAATGTAAGCGTGCGTGCGTGCGGGCCGATGATGTGCGCACCTGCTGAACACGAGATCCCCGTCGCACTAACCCTAGGCTACTTGTCAGCAGGCACCCCGTGCATACATGCGGACGGGCGAGTTGCGCTCCCAGATCTTCGCGTTGGGGTTGATCCACTTGACAAACACGTCCGCGCGGAAGGGACGCAAGTACGAGCTGACCTGGGGCGCG